ACAGTTCTCGGTTAAGGTTGGGATGCCGCTATTTAAATCAGATGGACATGAGCCAGGAGTGTGATTAGGGAGCGCCGAAGTGGCCGGCGAGTCACATTCGTCCAGTCCCGAGTTAGAAGTCGGCGGGGTGTCTGCGCATAGTGGAGACGTTTCGGGGAGTGATTGTGTTCCACTCGCGTCTGATGGTAAGAAAACAGAAAATAGGGAGTAGTTGATTGAAATAAGGTAGACTCAACAAGTGGCTCGTAGCTGTGAAGGTAAAAACTCTTTTACTCCAATTTATTTGTTGGAAACGACTAAAATGTGCATGAAAACGCTGTTCGCCACGCATCACAATAAGGAGGAGCACAGCCGACGGGGGAGCGCTAAAACAGGAAATAAACCACGAAGAGGGAAGTAAAATTAACCGAAAGAATGTGTAAGTTTACACCTTTGGTGCAACGAACCCAGTGGAGACGAATTCATTTACGTCTTCCCTTAAACTCCACAGCATCTACACGGAGCTCCTTCCTGCTTGTGAAGATTTGAGTAGAGATTCGACAGTTTGTCCGTTGCAAACGACAAGGTGAACGCAGTAGTAGCTTGAGGCTAGATCTTTTTATGGTCAGGGAACCTGAGCGGTATCTACCTACGCTCCCCAGTCCAAAACTCGACCTCTTCCACTTGCAAGCCAAAGTTAGGATAACGGGAAATTGGTGTAGAAGCGATTGCGGAAAAGACTCACAAACCGCTCTGCGCGTCATAAACACGACCTGCTCCCTACTTTTACACATGCACATCTGGCCTCATACAAGTGCTATAGAAACTGCACAAAGAGGGAGCCATTGAAAGCTGACCCTCAGCCGCAAGTAGGATGGTTGTCTGGCCGATTAGCTGCATCCTAAACTATGAATTGTGACGAGTTTGGTTGTTTATATTGGGTAAGTTCTGAAACCGGGTTGAACCAACCACACCCTCACCCGTCTATTCATCCAGTTCGAGAGAACCGACTTGAAACCGCAATTTTTGTGCCGCTTAATGATTATTGGCACAGGAAAATTTTCGTGCTGTCTGTCTGGCAGTACACAGTTACAGGTGCCAGTAATTTCTGACAAGGCAAATGGCTCGCTCGGGGGCATATGTAATGACAGTGTCCACAGTCGATATGATAGGACATCTATAAAGTTAATGGTGATTCCCAGAACAAGGGAGAGACTACGGAAGTCAATCCTACAGAATCCCAAATAAGCCAGAAATGGCCATTCCAGTCTCCCTTGTCTTTGTCTGTGATGACATACTGCCTATATCATGCGCCGCTGTGCGGTTGCGGGTTGGGCTCGAGGGAGAGCCCGTAAGGCACAACGGAACGAGTGAGTTCCGTAAGAACGATCGGTGAGCGCCCCTACCATTGACTACAGAATTGTCATACAGCCTTAAAATTCATCATCTGAAAAGTTGCCAACTGACGAGAATGACTGACACGAGGAGATTGGTTGTCCTGATCCCTTCTTACTGTAAATTCTAGCACGCAAGGTCAGGACGATGGCCGGGCCGGACATAACGTCCAGTCTCATATTTAACGGCCTACAATAAGTTTTCCCGACGCATAAGGACGAAGATGAAGTGAATGAGACCGACGCTGCGCAAGTCCTTCTTAACCACCACTCAATTCACGAACAAGTCATCTTCTCTTGGAACGGCACTTCTCGTGAAGTACGAGGAAAGATTTACTGTTCAAACAATTAACCAACGACGCATGGTGCCGCCTGCGAGTAAAAGAGTATACGACCGGATTTTGGAAGAAATTTGCCAGCATTGGATTGGCCGGACTCACGTGGCCAATTTAGACAATTACACATAAGGTGCGAAAATTAACAGTCTCGCGTGTTGCCCCTAGGTAGGTCTACGGTGACGTCAACGGGGGCGGACAATATTTTATATTCTAAAAGCTCTGCCAATTCGAGCAGCCAATGAAGGCTTTAGTATAGCCAGCATCATCTGACCAAACTCTCGCCTAGACGCTGTACCTGTTAGTATGACGTGGACTCAAGACGGAGGCGCTGGGACATATACGGACTTGGGATGCAGGCACAAATATCGAATTTAGCAGGATCTCGCTTCTGGACCAGCAGTATCATGCTGAGAAGATATCACGCACGCAATATGCAGAAGCAGGAATGACATTTTAGAGACGTAACTGGCTATTAGCACTGACTTTAAACGCCAAAGATATGAAAGGAGCACTGTTGTCTAGGACTGCTTAATACTTGCAGCAATATTTCCAGCCGGCGTATCACGGCCCAAAATTCCATAAAAACCAACCGCTCTATAGAGATTTGTGCCGTTTTTCCGGGTGAGGTCAGTACCGGACAGATAAGACCCGACTTGTCAGAAAACCATCAAGCATACTCAGTACGTTGTCAGGCTAGGTCAGGTCGTAGGAACCTTTAGGACAGTAGATCGTATATGAAGCTGGAAATAAAGTGTCGTCTGTCTTGGAGGTTCGGCCTAAATTACGAAACATCCCACATTTTGAGGCATTTTTTCTCTTGGTTCCTCTATATCCATGTTTGAAATTGTTTGCCCGTAAGAATGGCATTCGCCGCAAGACTAGGAAAATTCTGATGATTGTAGATGCTGACTAGCGCGTGTAAATCAAAGCAACAAGACCGGCGAATCATTTTTAGGGGGCGGTTAGCAAAGCATATGGGGGCTCAGCGAACGCAGACATTAGTCGTACTGGTAACCGCGAAGCGTGATCAAAAGGACTAGTAGGCTCTGACCTAGTCTACTCGCAGCATGAAGACGACAGGCAATTAGTCAGTCAGTCCGATGCAGCCCAGATCCGAGTATCCATTGAGGACAACGATGGGCCAAGGGTTTTCGTTGTGTAGTCACAACATCAGCTAAAGCAGAGAGCCGCTATGCTAATCAGAGAAAAGTCCTCAAATAAGTTGGCATACAAAACTGGGCTGATGGACAGTAACTGTGCAGATTATAGTTCAGAACAATGCGGCCCCTCAGCGCTTAGAAAAACAAAAGACCCCAGCCATTCCTTCAAGAACGAGAACTTTTGAGATAAAACTGAAGTTTGCTTGGTTTCGAGGGTTTAGAATCAAACTACATGTGTGGAGTACAGAGACAAGCTTGTTTGAAACATTTATTTGATACGCTTGGACACGAAAGGCCTTCTAAACAGTGAGGGAGGACGAATGAACTCTCGTCGGAAGAGGTGAAAAGCACACAGGAAGTGCATATTGGGAGTGACATTAAACTAAGGGGCACAATCACACTAGTCGGCCTAGCCGCGTTTACTGTTAAACAATGGGGGAGGTAATAATTACGTTGTAGAAAATCATAGACTGAAGGCAAGGCGTCTACTAGGCGCAAACGCATTAGAAGTTAACGCGAGACCAACTTGGGAAAATTACACCGATGGGAAAACTAACCAAACGTCCATACGATTCGAAAAAGCAGTTCGAACAAAATGATGGAGGAGCCGCCCATGACAGCTAGAAATAAACATAAACTTAAGTCAGACTGTTTGCTCTCCTTAAACCACCAATGGTCCAGCTGTCCGTTGTCTATCGCGTTCAAAGGTAACGGACAGGCGAGCGGCCCTAAGCGAAAGTTAGCTACAAGACAAGCAGACTCACAAGTACGGTGAATAAACAGCAGCGGACTAGTAGCGCCAGTATCACCAACAGACAGACGGCCGAGATCGGGTACGCCGACCAACCTATTGAAAACCGCAAAATCCCATGACTTAGTTCGAAAACGACAGCCACAAACCTCCATGAAATAAGCTCTTTCGTCACCACTCCTTGCGTTTTAGTTTTAAAGAGCCGGAGTACTTGCGGATGCAACCTCTAACGGGCGAACCGAAGACTGTCGGTAACATACATTTGTCGGAAATTCTTGATTACCTAAGTGACACATGCCCGATTTGTGTCATGGAGTCGGCGGCAACCAACACGCTCCACAACCCTGGCTTACTAGTGCAGGAGGACGGTAAACATGTGGTGCCGCCCAGTGCAGGGCGAAAGTTTTGTATCCAATGTTATAAAACATGAACGTTGCGTTATGCAACCTTCATTGGCATTATTTTCTGTAGCCTGTCAGAATTTCGGATTTTCATTCTAACTCTCGGTAAATCAAAGCCCCTCAGGTCCGCTTTACATCTTTTTCTGACATGGACGATAGCGCGCGCTTCGGGTACATACGGTGTGGCGATTGACCTATCAAACAGATTGAACGAAAAATCGTTTGTGCAAACGCTTAACAGTCCTAACCGACGTAGTCCTTAAAGTCCGAGGTATGCCCCTCGTACCGAGTGACTCAGTTCGCGATGTGGATGGCTACTTTAGTGCTGACAATTCGGTCAGGGCTGGGGACCAGGACGAGCGCTTTCAGGACACTCTGTATGGATGGCCAACCTATCTGTCCTTTGTTCTCTCTCCTCGGCAGAGGCGTTTTATCTTTTCCCGGCCTCTATGCAGTGTCTCATGACCAGACACGCAAAGAATAAAGTACCCACACTGCGTAACACAGCGCTCGGGAATGACGTAGTTACAATGGCCCACGCGACTATTGTTTTCAAGCGGAGCTAATGCAAACGTAGTCAGAGGCAAGACTTAATAGGACTGAGGTTCGAGGTGCATTACGGCGCGCCCCATAATCGTGCCATGGCTAACAGAAAGCGATCGCCGACTTTACTACCGCCATCTAATTCGTTAGCAGTGAGTTTCTATAAGATGTTACAAAGTTGGAAAAGCCACCGGAGGGAATTATCGCTAGTGACAAGTGCAAACACTGTCGCAGTTGTCTGTATTATTGTGAAAAATAACCCCTCATAACCGTCAGATGTTTTGTCAGGCGTTAGACAAGGGTGAAGTTTGTTGTCTATAATATTTATCTACGTTACTGAATGACATCCTCAAGGTTGTAGGCAATTTTGACGGACGGAAGTCGACCACGTTGGAGACATGCTTCCGCGAGCGTCAGGCTGCGCTGACTTATAGCATACCGTGTCTCGGATGGATGAGGTGGCCTTATTGGTTGGTTTATCCACCAGCATGATAAGAGGTGGACGATCCTCCGCCTGCACATCTGACCAGGACAAGTCACGGCTGATTAACAACGGACAGCTTGAAGAGATTGCCTGCCTTAAATATCCGGGATCAAGTTACAAACAAACAAACATGCTGGGTTTCAGATTGCTGCCAAACGGACAAGCGACATAACCATTCGAATCTTGGAGTTTTCACCAGCTTTAAGAAGATGCGGACCCTCATGACATTCCAATGATCACGAGGGACTGAGTGTACTGGACATCGGCAGCATCTTTCCACAGCTGTGGATGTTGGATATGAAAACCAACCATGGGTTAAGAAAGAAACATTTCGACCAACGGTGCCTGAGGACGATCTTTCAGGTGAAGTATACACTCCCTTTCGACCTCTTTTCTGCATCCAGAGAGGCGGTAGCAGGATTTAAGACAGGAAATCTGTACTCGTATTGCTGCTCAAAATTCAACATTCCCTTCCACCCAGTGGAAATGAGAAAGAGGTAATAAGCCCAAACCTAGCTCAACACAGTCCGTCAAGATTTGATCATGACTCTTTGGCCCTCAGTATCCGATCTTCGCAGCTCGAGCAGGTGAAATCTGCTACACAGATCGTCAGCAATAACAGATACAATGGACTTCCCACAGAACCTGGGGAACATAGGGACAGGAGTCTGGCTAACGACAGCTAAAAATGTTTCAGAAAATTCATCCTAATGGAATGCGAGTAAAACGCAGCTTCTATAATTATAGAATCTGCCTTAAGGCAACGGAGAAGTGGAATGTTTGATAAACGGCGAGCGGGACATGTCGTTAACCCCAACTTGACCACTTGATCGCCAAATGCGTGCGAAGACAACGTACGATTCGACCAGTGGCAAGGAAATCTTGGACCGCATATCTGCAATACGTAGAAACTTGACAACGATCGACTAATCGGGTTTTCGACAGCGGGAGCGCCGATCGAAGCAACACGTTTTCAGTATAAAACAGTAACAGGCAGACTCGCAGATGGGCTATAGACCAAATTATGTAATCCCGCGTCTCGAGTACGTCTGGGGAAAGCCGCCATGGCAGCTTATGCTCCCAATAACTCCCTGAGGAGTTTGCTGACCTTGACCGGTTAGACTGGCGAATATGTCAAGGGAAAGTAAGTTAAGCACGTTTACACACCCCTTTTAACGTAGGAAAATAATGCTTCGAAGATGTTTCGCCTTTGTCCAGTTGTTTGTTCACGGTCATCCATTAGACAGCAAAGACTTTACATAGTTTTAAATCTAGCGCCAGTGTCCACTTTGCTTCTGGATTTTTACGTGGGATAAGTAGTAAAAAAATAAACACGGGACAAAGCTGAATGCGGAACTAAATAAGAAATAGTTTACTATATTTCTTTCAAAATACTAACGTTGTTTTAATCCTGACAATTTTAAATCTAAAAAGTGGCGCGACCGGCGTTTGCTTCGACCATACGGAAAATGAGTTAAAATACAAATGCAGCAAACAGCTAACTTTGAATGGAGCCACAACGAAATGCGAATTTTGCTTTTGTTGGAATTGAAAGACGAGGAATATTAATTAAAAATTGTAACTGCGATTGGTCCGTTAATGACGGCTGAAATATTTATCAACACGCCCAGGTGCTACTTACAGTCACAAAGAGTCAGTAATTTATGCAACGAACCTACACCCATATTAGGCTTAAACGTGAATGTGGCGGTGGACTGGGAGATGCAAATGTATAAAGGGACAGCGAGTGTCGGGTCTAGTTCGAAAACAACAATCAAAGTTCATGCGGTAAAAATGCCTTGAGTTCCCACTTCTTAGATTGGTGTACATATTCTGTCAGCAGTGAGACGCATTTCGTACTTATGCGTTTGATTATGTACGTGGAAACTCCAGTTTACTGAGTAAACTGATTTCATGAACGTCCTTGGTTTGTTAGTATAAAAGCGTCTTCTGGACGAAAATTCTATAATATCTGTATACCATGGGAGAAGGGGGATCGTGGAGATTACCTGTTTTCTTATCAATAATGTTTATCGGGGCTGGACGTGAAAATTTATTACAAGTGTAAGAGGAGTACGTTGTTAATGGTTCAAGGCTGATGCAAAATTTAAACGATGATCCAGATGGGAAAATTTTTTAGTTCAGTGCGGACTACCGTCATTTCATTCTAAATTGATTTCAGCATTTACGACAAGTGCTGATTAGGTAGAGACTGACAGCAGCTGTTTGTCACGTAACTACGTTGTCAGTTAAAATGCTTAACGTAGATATGAGCTTGTCAATAAGCGGGGGTGCGCTTTGATGGCATCTGTAAAGACAGCCTAATGGTTTCGTAGTTAGGCCTGTTTTCGGAAACAGGCGGCAAAACCTTGAATTTTCTGCATGGCAGTCAGTGCAGAATATTCCAGGATCTAAATATGTTTCCAACCCGTCAGTTTTGAAACTCAGGCTTCTCCTGTGCGGATTTGTTTTTGTGTGTTTACGTTAGGGCCATTCCTCCGAAGATAATTTTGTTAATAAAAGCGAAGGGGCGAGTTCAAGGAAGTAGTCGTGAAGAAGGAGACACGATCGCTGCAACAAGAGCTTTAGAAGATGAAGATGCGATCACTGAAACAGGGAATTTATTTGCCAAGAGCTTTATTAGCCTGACGTTTCGGATTCTCACTCGAATCTGTCATCAGAGACAGAATCAGATAGGGGTCGTAAATTGACCGGGTTTTGCAGTATTTATAGGATGTAGTTGCCAGGCCGCTACATGCCTATTTCAGTTGGCAGCTCCCGAGTGCATTACAGCTCGACTGGCCAGGTGTTGAAGCATGCAGTTTCTATGCGCTTGTGTGTCGGTCAAGATTGTCAATTCCCACGCTCATCGCAGGCAGTCGAGTTGCTGACGGCTGGATTTCGTCATCCGTGTGGGCTATGGGCAATTTAGGTCGCCGATACTGACCCCTGGAACAGTGCTAATCCGCACGTTGTCCTCGCGTCTAACAACTTCGACTAGACGAAGTCTGCTCCTGGAAAATTAATTCAATCATTTTTAAATTTTCGTGTGGAGTTTTTTTCACCCCTCGCTAATCATTTTTCTGAATGGACTAATAATTCAAAAACGATGAACTGCACTTTGTACAGATTTTGCCTACCTCGTCTAAAATTCGCATGTAAATTTATTTTTACTTGCTTTGATGGGACCCCGAAGGGTCTTTAATAAACAATTATTATTATAAATGGATCGACAAGGTCATTGCGCTTGTTGATTGACTGAGGACTGGAAAACCATGACTCGAACAGTTCGCGGCTCACGCGGTTGTCAGTTCTAGTAAGAATTTCTGCTTCGTCAAAATTGAATGTATAATTAGGTCTCATCAAGTGAGCTGCGAATTTGGAGCTGGCGTCCTTCCTAATCACCGCTGCTGCGTGTTCTGCCATGAGCGTTCGCAGTAGTCTTCCGGTCTCCCCGACATAGTTTCTTTGCCCTCAGCTGCACCAGACACGGTAAACGACTCTAGATGTTTCTTGCCGTGGCAATGGGTCTTTAGGCCTCATGAGCTGGCGCCTTATGATTGCATCCGGTCTGTGTGATACTCCCATTCCAATGTCTCCCATTCTGAGACATTCTTCACGCACGACAGTACTCGCCAAAATTTGGAGCCGGTTAGGTTTCGCCTTTCATCTCGTATGCGCAGGCGCTGGTTGACGAAGTTGCGCGGGTAGTCATTGGTTTTGATTACCCATCAAAGGTATTGTAGTTCAGGGAATGAGGATTTCGTACCCTCACCATTTCGCCACGGGTGGCGCAGATTTTGTCGTCGAACGACGTTTCCGTTCTGCTCTCGTTTTCTGACATTTTTATGCAGGCTAAGGCTAAGGAAATGCTGTTACTCCACTTCTTCACAAGGCTTACTCATCCGGAAAGTGCCCTAATCCATTCCGTTTATGGACACGATAAGCCTTCGTGTAGTACATTGCAACAGGGTAGTGATTGTAAGAGCTCCACTGCTGGAGCAAGTACGTTACATGAAAATCCACGCCCTAAACTCCCTTCGCCGGCCGAAAATCATTCAAATGTCGAAGTGCCAACATCCGTCGGGAATACTACAGTAGCATTAGAGCGTCCCAGCGCGGACGGGACAGTAATGAGCTCTTCCATAAATCGTAAGCAAAATATTGTCATAAGGGGCGCCCCAGAGGCCACGTCCTGCATTCTCCGAATGGACCGAAATGAACGAAGGTGTGGGTAAATTGCGATATTTATACGAGATGGCAAAGACTATGCGAGAGCTGAGCCTTCCTCATAGGGGGACATCAGTTTTGAAATACTAAGTTGTCACTTGGAAGTGCCAAATCATCCAAGCCTTCATACGGTCCTGTTCTACAGCCCGCGGGGACAGCGGACGGATGCGGACGATGCACTCATCAACGAGATAAAAGGCATCTGCTCGCCTGAAGCTATTGTGGAAGAACTTAAACACCTGCGGAACACACTTCGAGAGAACGGATACCCAGATATATTTATCCTCCGAAATATTGGGGAACACGCCGAAAAGCCCACTGTTGCGACTGCGAAAAAGAAAGATGTATTCATAAAATTGTCTTTTGCAGGAGACGCAGAGAGCGAACTAGTCCGACGGCGCTTAACTACAGCTATCACGAGGGCAGTCCCCGCGGCAAATTTACGCGTATGCTTCACAAACTCTCCCCTCCTACGTTTGGGAGGTACAGACAGACTACCGTTGGAGGCCACATCAATGTGCATTTATTCATTCACTTGTTCCTGTGGAGCAGGATACATCGGGCGCACAACGAGACGCCTGGTAAAGAGGGTGCGTGAATATATGCCCGCCTGGCTAGACAGACGTGAGACCCGGTCGATTTCGAGTTCTATTCTCGCACATTTAATCGATACGAACCACCGAGTCGATATCAAGGAAGCATTTCAGATTGTCTACCGGACATCAACATGCTTCTCTAAAGGCCTACGCCAACGGATACTAACAACGGCCGAGGCAGTAGCTATACGGTTAGCGAATCCGGCGTTATGCTGTCAGAAAACTCTGACACAAGCGCTTTCTCTGCCGTGACCAACGCCAACCCCAAGTGATGAAGCCATGCCGCCTCTAATCCCTAATCACGTTGCTGGGTACTCCGTATACTCAATCCAAGAACATCATTAAAAGACTCTCTTACCCCCCTCCCCTAGCTCTGAGGGCTAACACCCACCGACCTTGTCATGCGTCGGCGTGGAGATGATGAGTATTAATAATAATAATTAATAATAAATAATTTTTTATTTAATGCCAGTTTACAGGCATTGTCAAGGGAAGCGATTAAACATAAATCCGACCAGCAATGAAAAAACTCCTGAGCTAAAGGGATAAAAATATAGTTGATGGTGGTTTTTATGGTTTGGAGGGCTCAGGAGAAAAAACTGCCGGCGGTGGTAGAATATCGACCGTCAAGAAGGGGGGAGGTTGCACGGTATCGGAGATTATCGGACGTCAAAGTCCTTTCATGAAGCTGGGGATAGTCAAAGTAGAGGCGTTGAGGAACAGCTGGTGAGACCGGCCATAGTGTTCAGAGACCACAAACGCCATCGCTACGGTACAGTCGATCAGTAGATTCAGCACCCAAAATTTGTGGGAGCTTTTCTGAATGCACTTAATAGCCCTTGAGACGTCTATAAACACTGTTGATTTTGTACATTTTCATTCCTTTATGTAATTGTATTGGCCTGACGAAGAATTACCGAAAACGCGTGTTTGCCAACCTGACTTTTAAAAGAAATTAGTCAAAGCAAACACATAATGCTACTTGGTGATTTCAACTGTCCAAATATCGAATGGGCTTCGATGCATTAGAAGTTGCACATAGATATAAACCGGCAGACCACGACATCGTGCTTGAGCTTCTAAAGAGCGACCTACAGGCCTTTGCCCGGTGATGTAGCACATGGCGCCTTTCTCTTTCTTGGCATAAATGCTCAGTCATGGTGGTTGGCGATGACGTCCAACCTCAACTAAGTATTGACGGTCACGACATAAATGTGCCCAGGGTTATTAAGGAAAGGGGGGTATCATACTCTAAGAACCACAAGCTTTCGGAGCACTGTGCTCTGATAGTCTCCAGAGCACGTAGAACGACCGGGTTTATCCTCTGAAACTTTAAAACCAGCTACATTAGAATGCGCATTTATAACATATACGTTTGACCTGGCCTGGAATACCGTTAGTTTTTATTAA